GTTCCAAAAAGATCTTTCTGACATACTTGATGATGCAAGAAGCAACACAATGAGCATAGATGATAGATACAACTTGTTTTTATCACAGATAAAAGAAAAAGCCAAACATCATTTTGCACGCGACAAAAATACAAATCGAAAAAGGAAAGAGTGGTTAACTACTGATATTTTGAAGGTTCTCGATGAAAAATCTAGAGCATTTCTTGAATGGCTGAATTATAGGGGCTCTACATCAGAATCTAAATATCGTAAAAAGTATAAACGCCTGAGAAAAATAGCCAAAACAATGACTGAACAACGTCAAGTAGAATATTGGGATGAAGTGTGTGAGGACATTGAAAAGTCCATGAAAAACAACGATCCAACAACAGCATTTTCAATCATAAGACGTCTCAAAGGTGGAAGTAAGCGACTAGAAAATATGCCAGTTCATGATAACAGTGGTAAATTACTGGTGAACTCAAAAGATACACTGAAACGTTGGGGTGAATTCTTCCAAGAAACCTTAAACGTAGTTTCATTGATAGATCAAGATTTACTTGATCAAATTCATATACCAACTCTTGCAGCAAGCGAAGAGCATAGACAGAATGCTCAACCATCAATGCAAGAAATAAGAAAAGCAGTAAACCAAATGAAGTCGAGGAAGGCTCCTGGCAGTGATGATGTCACAGTCGATGTTCTAAAAGCTGGTGGTGAACCAGTGATACGATGGCTGTTTAAATTCTTCACAGACATATGGGAGAACGAGAAGACGACGAAGGAATGGAGCATAATGACTCTTATAAAAATATATAAAAATAAAGGCGATAAGAAAATATGCGATAATTATAGAGGCATAGCGCTATTGAACGCCACTAGTAAAATATTCTCAAGGATAATATTAAATCGCATTCAAAACCTGATCGATGATCAGTTACTGGAAATACAAGCTGGTTTCCGATCCAATAGATCAACAATGGATCAAGTCTTCATTCTAAAAATGACAATGGAACGAAGAAGAGAATTCAATAAGCCTTTATACATGTGCTTCATTGATATCGCGAAAGCCTACGACTCAGTCAATCGTGAGCTCTTATGGAGAGTATGCCGAAGTTATGGCATTTCAGAAAAATTGGTCAACCTATTGAAAATGCTTTATAAAGATTCAATAGCTAAAGTCAGAATAAACGGTGAACTATCAGACAGCTTTGAAATAAAAACAGGAGTGATGCAGGGGGGCATTCCTTCACCAATTCTATTCAACATCCTATTCGACTTCATCGTCAGAAAAGTCATTGATGATGCTGGTGTGACAGGCGTTAAATTTGCATATGGTAGTAATGACTTTTTCCATGGAAACAATGAGAAATACGATGAATTTCAAATATTGGCTCTCCTATACGCGGATGATCTAGTTGCAATGTGTGAAACAGCAGAAGATCTAGAAAAGTTTATCAGATCTTTCGAAAAAGTGGCGCAGCGATTTGGTTTGACTATGAGCATTAAGAAAACCTGTTTAATGTCGCTGCAGCAACTTAAAGAAGATCAACACAGAAAAGTGTTGGAAGGACAGAAAGTCAATGATGATGATATAGATATTAGCATAAGAAAACAAAAAATAGAAATGACTGATTCATTCACATATTTAGGTTGCACAGTCACAAATGATCAAAGACAAGATGTAGAAATATCAGCACGGCTTGCAAAAGCAGCCAAAGCTTTCAATATGTTACGCTATGTAATATGGCATAGAAAATCTGTCTCAATCACAGCTAGGCTCCGAATCTTCAGAGCCTGTGTAATTCCTGTACTCCTTTGCGGGAGTGAGACATGGGCTCTCACGATAAAACAAGAGCAAAGGATCGCCAGTTTTTATTATAAATGTTTACGTACTATCATCGGCGTAAATCTAGGCGATCGAATGTCTAATGAAAAATTACTGGATATTACAGGACAGCCAACCATTGAGAACGTTATACGTAGAAATCGTCTACGATGGTTTGGCCATGTGAATAGATGTGCCGATGTAAATGGATGTCCATTATTGATTAAGCAAACTATGTTTGGATATTTTCATAGAGAAAGACGACCTAAAAATGTGGGAAGAACTAAAAGATGGGAAGATAAAGTTCTAAAAGATATAGAAGAGTTAAATATCAGAAATTGGAGAAAACTAACTCTAGACAGAAACTGTTGGCGTGAAACAATCAACAGAAACGTATACGTCAAGCCAGTACATAACAATATAAAAAATATTGTCTATGAATATAAACTACGTGCAACTCAAAGGAGAAAAGATGAAAAGGCTGTAGCGACAGGTACAATAAAACGAAAAGTCACAGATATATTGGTTAAAGAAAATAATTGTTACAAATGTCCAGGGTGCAAGAAGAACTTTAAAGCGCAAGGCATTACAAATCATGTCAAAGCGTGTTTCGAAGCCAAAACATGGTGCAAAAAAAACAAAATCAATTAAAAGAAAACGTCGTGAACTTGACTATGCACGCCCATCATGGTTGTATACATGAGAACGATATGACGAATATTACTGAAACTTGGTGTTATAATCAAGGGGTAATATACTGATGGATATCCTTGTTCGACAATGGTGATGATCTACGTGGCTCTCGCCGTAACAAGACTAAAGACTTATTTTTCCTTCCCTTTTCCCTCTCTATCGTTGTGTCTTATCTCCTGTTTCTTTTTTGTTCCTGCTAACTATTGTACGTTTTCCTTCCTTTTGTATTGTTTCTCACCCAACACCGGAGACGGTAAGGGTCTATAAATAAATAAAGTATGCGCCACATTCCGTAATGGTTAGTATAAAAATAGACGAACTATTGTCAGTGAAATTATCTGATCCATTACCAAGGGGGAAACGACGTACTCTCGTACTTTTGTACTCTACAGAGTCCATGGACTTTGATTGGACTCCGTGTACTCTGACTGGAGTTTCATGGACTCTGAGTACAGAGAGTCCAAAGGAAAACGCTGTACTCTTGGACTTCCTGGACTCTCATGGCAGTTTCAGAGTCCCTGAAGTACTCAAAGTACAGATAGAGTCCACGAAGTCCACAAAGTATCAACTGAGTCCGCGAAGTCCACGAAGTCCATGAAGTACAACAAGTGCAATCATCGGGACAACAATGCGATTTTTCGTTCATTCTTGATGTNATGAAGACGCTCATATACATTGGTGGAAATAGTCCAATTAGGAGCGATTAAGACATGCTAGTGTCTAAAATCGGTTATCCGTTGACACTTGAAGTGTTTAGCTTAGGCATTTAGCGTCTAATCAGAAACCCCTTTAAGTGTCTTGTCTAAATGAACGAACGGTCTTATTTATACAATTCATGTCTTGATTTTTTTTATAGTGTGTTATGTCAACATACACACAAAACAATTTTTCATTAGTAAAACCAAATTGAATATGTTCTTTCCAGTATCATAACAAGCCTTTGTCATTAACAGAAAAAGATATTCACATATATAGTGAGCAGAGTGTCCAGATTTCCTGATTTTTCGAAATTATTCTGCTTATGAACTGTTAAAAAACTTCCTTGTTTTAAGTGGGCTCCATTCAGAAAAGCTGTTAGCGCAAACCCTGTGGGATTGAAATGTGAAACACGATTCAGGTGTTTTTGCTAGATACATCGAAGTCCATTTTGTTCGACGTATTTTGCGATACATTTGTTCCCAAACCTTTGCCTAATCCCCTTGAACTACCATAAGAAAGTAATTCATATAATTTAACGAAATTTTATTGATATACGGTCTTCGATCGTATATCAACAACGTCTGTCATGCTCTATGATCTTCTCGAGATGTTCTCTTTTACAGTCTATGAATGGTCTCTGGAGCCCGCTGTCATGATATGTGATGGGTTTAGATTTTCTCTGTCACAGTCTGTGATGGGTATTGGGTTTCTCTGTCGCGGTCTGTAGGGGGTCCAAATTTCTACCCCTAAACACTTCAACATTCCGTTCAGGTGGTGTTTCACAAAAGTCTGTAAACTGCATGTCAGATGTGCGTATTTCTTGTTTTTGGAGAAAATCTCAAAACCAATGGCTCAGTATTTCGTTTTTTAGTGCTCTAATAACTTTTCATGTCGGCGCCCGATGAAGCAGTACATCATGAACAATAGTTTTTGCACGTCTCTAACGAAGAGACGACCTCCCATAAACTGAATTATTTCCAAATAATGATACGGATCCCATAGATTAACTCTGATCTGATTCTTCTTTATTTTAGGAGAACAAGCATCTAGCATCGCTTCTTTAACAACACGATTAAAAAACACTTGCAACTAGCGTGTCAACTTTTGTATGTCTCGGTCAAAGGTCTTTACAATGCGTCGGTATTTGACTATTTCGGTTTTCAAACGCATTAGTCGACCATTTATTACAGGTTTTTAATCGCATTATTATCTAATCTATCCAATGATCAGTCTATAGTTTCGAACATATCTGATTCTTTGCTTGCACATTAAAATTCACTTAATTCATTCTGATGAATTTGAGTTGAAGATGAATACTGTTTGATTCTGATCTCTTATGACGAAAGTAGAGATTTTGTATTTCATTCAATAAAACTGGTGTTGAGTGATTCACCTATACACATTTGTGGCTTCCTTCTATCGCGGTTCTTCTGCGATGACCCTTCTGCTACTTGAAAACTGTCGAGTGATTAGAAGACTATGCTCTGATGTAATGGTGAACTTTTTTTTATTGCCGCTGTAGTGTTTCACAGTGATTTGTTCTTGTGTCTTTGCAGTAACTTAAAAAGATAGGGCGTTGGTTGGGACAATTTCACTTCTTATTTTGTTTTTGTCAATCTAGATAAAAAGGATATGAGTGAATTAAGGAACATATTTATTTTTATCACACATCGGTTTCGTGACTGCTATGAATGAAAACATGTTTTTTGTCATAGTAAATGGAATTATTTTTTCTACATTTTCAAATCTCGAATAGTTCAGTGTTCGGACAATTATTTATTTGTCTGCGCTAGATCAACCAATGCTTGATCAAGCTAAAATGGAATTTTCAACCACTTCTGATGCTACTGTTGAACAATCAAAAACCAACGCAACTATCACTGGAGGAAGTAATCAGCTGAAAGATCAACATATCAATGAAACAATAAGAAAACATACTAATCAAATAGTTGATAAATACAATATTGAAGATATTACTAGCAAATGTAACGCATCAAAAAATAATACTGTCACTTATTGTCGATGTTGGAAATCAAAAAAAGTAGGTAAAACTATAGAAAAATGTGAAAGAAAAAGACAGCAGCTTTGCCTTCTGCATGAATGACATTTCAAAGGACTTGGAATCGTAGCAATATATATGTGGATATAAATTTTGTTTCCCACTGCTCATTCTTCACAATATCTTTCTTATTTTGTTTCGTATTGTTTTTTTCGTTTCTTCAGTTTCCATTTTGTGATGGGTCTCATAACACGTGGAACAAGGAAACAGGTGATAATATAGGTCCACTTATCATAACAGCAAAACAGTGAATCAAACAGTCAACGAATTTTCTCGGAAAACAAGTGCTTCTTCTACGACGTTTTGTGGTAAATGATCTATAGTCTCTGTTATGTCTTACTAAATAATAAATCATTCATGTAGTTCTTCGATTATTCCTTGTATAAGTTTAAAGAATAGGTTTTTTCCATTTTCTGTATCGAATTCTATATAATTTGTACTAATTAGTTGTTGATTTTTTCTTCGGAGTAATGTTACTTTTTACGCAGCGATTAAAATGAAAAAAAAAGTCGCTTGTTCTTGTATCAACTATTTTGAATAAGAGTTTTACTTTCCTACTAGTTCGTCAGGCCAAAAGCTGGGTGTGAGTGTGGAACCTACGTTAAGGTGTGCCTTGTCTTGTTCTCCACACCCACCCACACACTCAAGATATTGGTAAGAAAAGAAGGGGACGATAACTGACGCGAGAGAGCTACCATATTTGAATAATGGTTCTCGAAGCCCATACAAGGTAAAATAAAATAAAATTTTGCTCGATTATGTTGCGGAAACAGAAAATTTTTTCATAAAGAGATTATTATTTCTCCATCTTCGCTCAGAAATTATCCGATAAATCACAGCATCATATTTCTACCAATGTCGGAACAGTATTTTCGCTAACTTTTTTCTAGGGGCATTCAAGAGAAGGAAAATTTTCGTAATAACTTTTTCGTCAAAGCTTTGAATGGACTTAGCCCATTTTAGAAAAAAATCCTAGCGCCTTCTGGGCATGCACCGAATCCGAACTTCCTGGGTTCGGTGTTCTCGGTGTTCGGTCATTCCCGGTACCTAAAACATTAGATTTAGTGTTTCATGTACTTTGGTCTGCATTAGGCATCCATAGAAACCAGGTATGACCGAACCCGAGAATGACCGAACACTGAGAAGTTCGGGCTCGGTATTCCCAGTATGCTCTTGGCTTATCTGATTGTCTAGCAATGACCCAGATAAATAAATAACTAAATCCAGCATTTCAGGTACCGGGAATGACCGAACTCCGGGAGCACTGAATCCGAGAGCGACCGAACCCCTTGAATACCGAGCCCGGGATTCTCGGCCTGTAGGTGAAGAAACGTTTTGGTTTCATAGGAAGTATCAAGTCTTTTTTAAGCTCGATGACTTCGTTCGAACCTCAAAAGTGATCCTCACATGCACATAGGTTCGGTAGAACGTTGCTTTTGTTAGAGTGTAGCTTTTTTATTCTTCCAATAGTGAAACTGAACTATGTGAATAAAACATTTTAGGGTGTGGGTGCGGGTGTGGGTGTGGGTGTGGGTGTGGGTGTGGGTGTGGGTGTGGGTGTGGGTGTGGGTGTGGGTGTGGGTGTGGGTGTGGGTGTGGACGTAGGCATCTTCTCTTCTCACACCCTCCTTTGTCTAAATTTTTCGTGTCTTCATGAACAAAACTCCAAAAATATATTCATCTTTTCCGACTTAAGTTCAAAGCAGTGATATTTTGGTTTCCCAATAATTAGAACTTCGATTTCTATGAATTATGTAAGTTTCCAATGGTTTAGATTAACTTATGTCTATTATCATATGCTTCTTAATGAAATAATCTATATTAAATGATTTGGAATATATGGAAAAGTGAAACTCGTTCATGGACAACTACAACTCATAGCTATGTGAAACATCATCAGGATTACCGAAAAAACCTAATATGCTTATCGACTAAGTTTTCATCCGCCTGCCAGGAAGGTTTTTAACCTTCACAGGGCCTATGGCTTTCTCTATAGATAGTCATGGGAGGCGACCCTGGGCTACTGGTAGCCACTTGTCTGGTCATGAGGCTAGCAACCTTTAGCTGGACGTAAAACTCTATTGCTAACGAAAAGAAACATAATAGAAGTGCAAATACACAAAATTATGTCTTCTTTGGCGGGTGGAACGTAAGATCTTGCGTAAAGCAATCAAAGAAGGAAATAATAATTAAGCAATTAAAAAAATATCGCATCCAAATAGCCGCACTAAGTGAAACGTGTATGTACGATTCCGGTATAAAATCAGTAAGCGACTACACGATGATCTACTCAGGAGCACCGAATGAAACGAAAACACGAAAAGCTCACGGAGTGGCAATCTGCCTGGATCAGGTTGCCACAAAGGTTTGGAAGGATGCAGGGAGCGAGTGGGTACCAATAAGCGAACGAATTGTTAAGATTCGACTGTTCTGTGCACCAGTCCACATTACTGTGATAGCAGTGTATTCTCCTATAAATCCAGTGACCAAACAAATGGGTGATGAATGTGACAAATTCTATAATGATTTACAGGATACATTAAACGATGTATCCACAAGAGACATGGTCATCATAATGGGTGATCTAAATGCTCGAGTTGGTCAAGACCAACACAAACACAAACAACGACAACAACACGAAACTCGAAGCGGAGTCGGTCCATTCACAGTCGATAATGTAAATGAAAATGGAATAAGACTCATTGACTTCTGCGAGATAAATAATCTCATAATCTCGAACACGTTTTTCAAACATAAGTTAACGCATCAAACATCATGGATGCATCCACGAACAAAAAGATGGCATACGATAGATTACACACTAGTGAATAAAAAATTTCGATCAAGTGTTGAGGATGTTCGTATGCTTAGAGGGGCAGTAGGATCTATAGGAACTGACCATCATCTAATGCGTGCCAAGATCAGAATTCATCTAAAGAGTAGAAGAAAAAATGTCAATCAGAAGAAAATTTTCGTTGATAGTAATAAGCTAAAAGATGACAAAATACTATCGGCATTTAGAAATGACCTTCAAGATATTTTTGATGCTACCGATGACACCACAAACAGTCTTGATGAGAAATATGAGTTCTTTGTATCACACATAAAACAAACAGCTAAACATCATTTTCCTCTAGATAGAGATACCAATCGTAAAAGAAAGGAATGGTTGACAGATGACATTCTAAAAGTTATTGATGAAAAATCAAAAGCTTTTATTCAATGGCAAAATAATCGTGGCACAAGATTGGAATCTAAATATCATAAAAACTATAAACGCCTAAGTAAAACAGTCAAATCAATAACTGAACGTAGACAAATAGAATATTGGGACGAAGTATGTGAGGATATAGAAAAATCCATCAGAAATAACGATCCCGTAACGGCTTTTTCCATTATAAGACGTCTCAAAGGTGGTGGTAAAAGAGACAACAATACACCAGTACAAGATAAAAGTGGTAAAGTACTGGTAAATCCAAAAGATACATTGGACCGGTGGCGTGAATTCTTTCACGAAACACTCAATGTAACTACATCAACTGGTCAACATCTAATTGATCAAATTCAAATACCGACTCTATCAGCAATTGAAGAATATAGACAAAATATGTCCATCTCCATTGACGAGGTGAGAAAGGCATTAAAACAGATGAAATTAAGAAAAGCCCCTGGTAGTGACGAAATCACTGCCGATATTTTACAAGCTGGTGGTGAACCAGTGATACAATGGCTTTTCAAATTCTTCACCGAGATATGGGAAAACGAGCAAATGGTGAAAGAATGGAGCATGACTACTCTAATCAAATTATACAAAAATAAAGGTGATAGGAAAATATGCGATAACTATCGAGGTATCGCTTTATTAAATATAACTAGTAAAATATTTTCACGTGTTATACTAAATCGAATTCAAGATCTAATCAATTGTCAACTGTTGGAGATACAATCTGGTTTTAGACAGAATCGATCAACTATGGATCAAATCTTCACTCTAAAAATGACAATGGAGAAAAGACGAGAATTTAACAAGCCACTATTTATGTGTTTCATAGATATAACCAAGGCTTATGATTCGGTTAACCGTGAACTTTTATGGAAAGTATGCCTTAGTTACGGCATAACTCCTAAACTAGTTAACTTATTCAAAATGCTATACAAAGACTCAATAGCGAAAGTAAAAATAAATGGCGAATTGTCGGACAGCTTCGAGATGAATACCGGAGTTATGCAAGGAGGTATTCCCTCTCCATTATTGTTCAATATCCTATTCGATTTTATCATCAGAAAAGTCATTGATGAAGCTGCTGTTTCGGGAGTCAAATTCTGCTACGGTAGCAATGACTTTTTCCATGGAAGAAACGAAAAATATGACGATTTCCACATATTAGCATTACTATATGCAGATGATTTGGTTATCACGTGTGAATCTATCTCTGATCTAGAAAAATGTATTGGTTGTTTTGAAAAAGTGACACAGCAATATGGTTTGACTATGAATCTTAAAAAAACTTGTGTTATGTCGCTAAAACAACTCAAAGAAGATCAACATAAAAAGGTTTTAATAGGACAAGACATCAATTATGATCATGATATAAATATTAATATCAGAAATCAGAAAATTGAATCAGTTGATTCTTTCACATATCTAGGTTGCACGATCACAAAAGATCAGCGACATGAAGTAGAAATATCGGTACGCCTAACAAAAGCAGCTAAAGCTTGTAATATGCTACGTCATATCATATGGCATAGAAAATCAGTTTCTATCACAGCAAGACTTCGAATTTTCAGAGCTTGTGTGTTACCAGTTTTACTCTACGGCAGTGAAACATGGTGTCTCACTGTGAGACAAGAACAACGAATTAGTACCTTCTACAACAAATGTTTAAGGACAATCATAGGAGTAAACATTGCAGACAAAATGCCTAATGAAGTACTACTAGAGATCACAGGACAGCCACCAATTGAAAACATCATACGAAGAAATCGATTAAGGTGGTTTGGACATGTCAATCGAGCTAGTAATCCTGGTGGCTTACCATCTTTAATGAAAAAATCGATGTTTTCCTTTTTCCATAACGAAAAACGACCACGCAATATGGGAAGATTCAAAAGGTGGGAGGACAAGGTCCTAAATGACATAAACCGGTTGCAGATATATAACTGGCGTAGATTAACACACGATAGAAAAGAATGGCGTGAAATAATTAATAAAAATGTCTACACAAAGCCAGTAGCTGCAAATATCAAAGATATTGTTTTTCATTATAAACAAAAAGCAGTTCAGAGAAAGAGAATAGGTCTAGCTGCTTTTAACGGTGTTGTAAAATATAAAGTAACAGAGATGCTGAGCAAACAAAACAATCGGTACACATGTCCAGGATGCAAAATGATTTATAAACCACAAGGAATCACAAATCATGTGAAATCGTGCGTGGATGCAAGGTCATGGTGTTTGCGGAACAGAATCATATGAACAATTTGATGGTTTTACACCTACTACAATTGAGTTAAAAACAGTATGATGACTATTATTTAAACTGTGTACGCAGAGGATAATAGACTGATGAAAGTCTTTGCTCAGTTCTAGTAGCGATCAAAGTGGTGCTCGTCGAAAAAGACAATAGACTCTTTTCTTCTTCCCTTTTCATTTTTATTTTCCTTTCTACTTTTTTGTATCTTGTTTCTCACCCTACACCGGTAACGGTAAGGGTCTACAAATAAATAAATATTAGGATGTTGAAAAACATTTTCCAACCATCTGAATTCTGAGAAAGGCTCTAGAAATTTGTAAGGTATTTTATTATTATCGTCATTCGTTAGCTATAATCTTAGATACTATAGTCTATAATGGGGAGGTGAAAACCAGAAAACTTCGACTGAAAACTGACTCTCACTATTTTCTTCGAAAATATATGTGAGTTTCACTAAAACCATATGGATTTATTGAGAAAATACTCAGAAATATATAACTCTAAATATTTATTATTTGAATATTTCGGCACAACTTTATCTTATCACTCTTTCGAATCATTAATTTCACTACAAACGTATATTGCACAATATTTTACTAATAAAGTATCTATCATTGCTATTGAATGTGTTTCTTTATATCAAATCCATAAATTATTTTCATATTCAAAATAGATTTGACGCCATTTAAGAAGCATTTCATCCTATTTTCTGTCAAATGTTTGACTTCCTTCAAAGCTTCATCAATTTGATTTGGTTTCGGCAATTTCGAGATTGTTTCTAAACATCATCACTTGAAGTTTTCGCTTTTTCTATCAAATCGTTCCTTAATTTTGTTTGATGATCCCAACAGCATCACTTATGATTCGTTTATAAAGAGTATTATTTAAAAAATCTATGTATTTTGTATAAATCTCACTGCTATGTGTTAGAATTATGCCTTGATACTCGTGTTAGATATTAATAATTTTCGGAGAAGATCCTTCTTCACACGTGCACTCGCAATTATTATTAAACAAGTAGCGTTAGGCGAGCTTGGTGATCATGCTAAAATACTTAAGTATGAATTTTTATTCAGGGTGTGAGTATAGATGATTGAGAGTAAAACGAAGGATGTTCTTCATCAACTCTCATCTATACGATAATCTTCATCCTATGGAATAAGTTCTAATCTAATATATATATCAGCATATGAGTATCTATCGACGGAAAAATATAACGTCTTTGAAAATTTTACTGACTTCCTTCAACAATGAGTAAAGGAACAAAAACAGATTCATGAAATTGATTTTATTATTCTTTCCTAAATCTATCGAATAGAAATTCTGAGTAGCTACATGAAATTCAGGTATCGATCTTTATATTATTCAAAACATATTTATAATGCTATCAGAGAAAAAAACTTTTATCATTATCAAAGAAGTAACAGAGTTTTTGGCAGCGATGCACTCAGAGAAGCTAAAACATGTCGAGAGTGTAAGAACAGTTTTTTTGGGTGATATGCGTAAAAATTCATAGAATACTTTTTTCTATAATAATTGTAAAAACTAGACAAGTCATCGATGGATTAAACTCTCAGAGAGACAAGTAAGTATAGGTACTAGATTGTTACTCTTCATATTTAATTTGAAGATGCTTCTCTTGCAAATTAAATATTTCAACAAGGTAACCGATTTAGAAACCGATTCTTTTAGCATTTTCACGTTTTAATTAAAGGTAAGCACAAATAATATTTCATTGAAACCTGTAATATCGATTTCTGTAAGTTAATCTATGATAACGAATAAACTCATTCTAAATACCTGCAGACTTTTAAATGGCTAGTATTTATTTGAGCAATTAAAAAATCAAAGTGAGCAATAATTAAAATACGAATTAGCAATAATTTGTTGAGCAATAAAAAAATTTTTTTGAGCAATTTTATATTATGAAATGGATAATAATTACTTCATTAAATTGCAGTAATGAATTTATATTTGAGCAAGAAAAAAATCATATGTGAGCAAGAAAAACTTTATATTTTCATAACAAAAAATTATTGTGTGACCAAAGCTTTTTTGGCTTTAGATGGTCTGCCCCTCTTTCTTTTTGTACCAATTGCTACATTTTTTGCCTCTGGTGGAGCTTTGCAATATTGTAGTCTTATAGACATCCCAATGACGTGCTTACAAATGTAGTCTTTCAGGAATGATGGGCAAGTGCAAGTACCATTTTTCCATTCGCCAGCGTTGTTGGCCAAACATACGCACCATATGTTGAAGTAGACGGATTTGTATCATTTGAATTTATTATTGCCCGTTCAATATTTTTATTGCTCATTCAGTATTTTTATTGCTGATTGAATATATTATTGCTCATTTGAATTCTTCACTGCTCAATTTCAATATTGCTCATTTTAATCATTTTATGGCTCAGTTAGATTATTCTATTGCTCAATTAAATATTAGTCCTTTTAAATCTATACAAATTTTACGATTGAATACACAAGATACTAGTCGTATCAACATCATCAATAGATTTTTCAAAGAAAAATACCTAAGATTCAAGTCGTTATCAATCTGTCTAAATGACATTCATTACATTGAGTAATTTCCAAACAAGAAATAAAAAGCTGTGTTTTTATTTTATCATATCAATGATAATCAGTCTCATTTGAATTATTTTTTTTCTAAAATATGGGGTGTGGGTGTGGGTGTATCTTCTCATTTGCGAGCATAAAATCGAAATTTAAAAACTTTAGAATTGAAATTTGAACTTTTTTCCATTGAAACGATTCAAATTGAGAAGAATCTGAAGTTTTAAATCTTCGTTTTGTTAATTTTCAAAAAGTTATATTAATTTTAAAACAGTTTACTTTTAACAAGCAAGTTTCTTGAGAAGTGAGTCGCAAATTTTTAATTTTCGTTGTTAAATTACTAGATATTTACTGAGAACAATTTTAATATAGTCGATATCTTCAGTATTACAACTATCTGTAATTTATAGAGTTCGCTAAGTATTGAGTTTGACTAGTTCAATAAAATACGCTGTAATTTGTAGAGTGCGCTAAATATAGTAATGCTTGCTTTTTTTTATGTAATTAACTACATTTTATAGAGTTCACCAGACATAATTATTACTATGAATGTCGTGAACTGTTTTTGAATTTCAACGCACCATCTAATTGTCATTATAAAATGGAATAAAACCTCGAATAGAGACAACTAATTGAGGTGCAAAAGCATTTATAGACAGAACTCAAAAATACAAAAGATAATGTTCGAAAAAAGACAGTTTTGAAATAGGGATGCTGATGGAAGTCTCCACTTGACGAATGCAGCCCGGTACGCCCCAATTCCATTCGAAATCAATATCGAATTGTCACAACAAATTATGATGCAACCTCTCTAAAAGCTAACATTGTCTTTAATTAAAATCGTTCTTAGCCAAGTCCAAATCGATGACCCTTGCTCGTGCATTATGACTATTAGCTTATCAATAACAAAAGAAAAAGAAATCAGCTAGTCAATTCCAATTTTGCATTTCATTAAAATTCTTCTTAGTTAAGTTCAAACGAAAATTTTCATTCAACCAATACCTAACATTCTCTACAAATTGTACTAGATATCTAGAGATTAAAACTCTTCGTGATCAAAAACTTGCGTCCTCTACAAATTGCAGCAAACCTAATTAAAACAAAATATAACTTTACTTTAAG